ACTCGATATTATACTTTATCACTGCAAATAATGCAGAAGCGGTGTCAACGCCGGTCTACTGGGTTGTAACACAACGTGGCACCGTATGTGCATATCAACACTTCGGAGGAACATGAAGATGGAGACATATCTACTAGACGTTCACGCGGAGTAATCAGACACAAGACCAACATCTTCACTGCTGAAACCCTAAAGTGTCAATAAATTTGTTGAATCTCATATTAGGCTGCATACTGAAAAGGCTACAAACAAATATTGGTCACATATTCTTTAACTTACGTAAATTACTTTACAAACTGCCCAAACTCTATCTGATACAGAGAAGTACATCATATATTGCAGACGCAACCACATGGTTGAGAAGTACGACGTAAAATAACACCTTCAGTGTGGAGTATCTAATTCATTTCAGTTCTACTTCTAACAATTTATACCAGTTTTCACAAAATGAGTTGTTGTTGTTGTTTCTTAGCTCTACAATCTGGTTGTGGGTTTTTGCCGCCTCCTTTTTCGGATGTTTCTTGGTCTTAAAGTGTGCATTTATGAGTAGTGAGTGACCAGTCCACTGACTCTGCACAATTTCTACTCAATCCCTTTTTGACTGCCAGAGCCATCTAGCAGTGAATCAGGAGACTTGGGTGAGAAATGGCCACTGAATTTTGCTTATGAAACATCTCATATCATGATCGTAAGGTTCTTTTATATGCCTTAAATCTACAGCTTTACCTCCCCTCCGAAGGAAGTTGTGCTACCAATTTTTATCACCCTTAAAAATCCATCGACCTTTGAACCTGGAAATCTTGGGTCCAGTGGCGAGCACGCTAACCACTAGTCCACCGGGGGCGACTCACAAAATGAGTAATCCTGTAAATGTTGTTAAACACTGCCTCAGAAGGAAGAAATTCCCCTATAAGCTTTAATGTCACAAACACACAAAAAAACCCACGCAAATCTTAAAGTCACTAAACAGACATATATTTATAAAGCAAGATGTTTTCTACACAGTAACCATCAGATATTGACATAGAAGAATCCATGAATATGATACGTGAACATTTGTAAAGGAATGTGCAATTCACCTGTTTTATTCAATTGTGTGTGAAACCTTACCACTTTAAGGATTAGAACTGAACCAACTATAACAAATTCATGCATAACAAATGTATTATACATATCCATGTCATCTAACAGAACTTACCTGTATAGCATTTGCTTTTCTAGAACCAAAATTCTATTCCACATGAAAACTAACAATTTGAACTTTCTAAAGAATTCAGTACTTTCTTGAAATAACTTTAAATCACAATGATAATAAAAAAAGTCCCAATATATTTTCTGACGAACTGAAATGTCTCGCAATTGACTGCAAAAAAAATACAAATAAACTTTAAGTTATTTTATCAATATTCAATGTGGCATCCACTCAGCTGCAACTGACAACCAAGACTGGTAATTAAATGTCTTACAAGCATTAAAAAGTTTACTACAGCACACCCAAAGCAAACCTGAACCAAACTTAATTTCAAAACTGCAAGGTCAAGGACCCTATAAAATCATAGCAATGTTTTGATTAAAGTGCAAAGTAAATCCTGCAAGATAATATGGCTGGTGCATTTTTCCATCTACTAGCTATTCGATGCTCTGATAAACACAACAAATTGTGTTCAATGTACTAGCACATAAAATACAAATAATATTACAAAAGCCCTCAATAGTGTTCTTACTTTTTAAAGTACTCCACATACAAAATACAAACGAGCTCACAAAATATAATATAAAGTTCATATCTCATGTTAGTACTTAACAAGAACTGTAAATTATTCTGGAAAAAGTTGCCAGTGACAACCCCCATGTCTATGAACTGTCAAGTGCCAAAATGGATTTATAATTCTCAAATCAGGTTATTTCTTCTGCCCGTGCAAATTCCATGAAGGCAAAATTATTACTGAATGGTCATAATTATTTCATCAAACACTAATATTCTTGTCTGACCACAAAACGCGATGATACAGTGAAAAATATACCGATTTCTAAATTGAAGGGGATGGGGAACAAAATACAAATGGCGAATAATAAAAGGTAAGCCTTACCCATCTGGGATTTGAAAACAAGCAAATCACATGTATGGTAACAACCAATCAACATCACCGGTAACCAGATCAAACAGAACCTCTTAAAAATATATTACATACCTTTAAAATAGTCCTCAACAAATCATATCTCACTTAACATAAAAAATACTTCGCTCTATCAAATGCACACACCCAAATTTTCTCTGCACTCGCGCAAGGCTCATCCCCTCTACGCGCGATTGGTCGAGATCTGTGACGTCACCGGATGTGAGTACAGTCACGAATCGGATGTATCATTTCCGTACGAACTATTATATTTCAGAGGAAAATCATTGTAAAATCATACAACTTGCACAACACTGGTTGTATTTAAAAAGGTCATTATATGCTCATGATTCCTATTCATAAACAACGTTGGCATGTATTTTAAGCAGACGCAAGATTCAATATGAATCTAACATTCTTCCAAATATGGTCATGATGAACAGAGGAAAATCTGCAAACAGTTTTAACTGTTTATAAGACGACACATGAATCGTTTTAAGTATCTTTTAGTTGCAGATGTTATATAACACAGATTCAAAAAAATTCTTTGTTGTAAAAGCCATTTCATTAGACTCATTATTGTCATTTTAGTTAGACATAAGCTCTGGGAAACCGTATTAACTGCGAAGTTGAGGACTGTTTTATGAAGGAGGGTTTCCTACAGACTTGGCATATTTTACTTGTTTCGTAGTGTACATGATACGACTGCCAAGTTTAGTAATGCGGTGACATGGTAGGCAGTGAATCATGGGCGGAAACCCACACTTCAGGATCTCGCACTGTATCAAGGGCAAATTCCTTGCGTAGGCCACTCACGGATCATAATATTATGTTATCTCGGATCAAAATTTATGTACAGTTAATATTGGAGCCACTGAGCGAAAATGTCATTTAATTCACTTAAGAGTATTCTGCTTCGTCGATCTACCGAAACATATCGGGAGTGGTTTCATACTCCAACACCAGAGCGCATCCATGTACACAGCGGGGAACTACAATCGATTAAAATCATAGTCGATATCAGCAGTTCACACAACGTATTATATTTACGTTATTTTAAACTCAGTTGCAATTACCCCCAAAGACCGTAATATCCTTACTTCCGAGAATTAAAATATGTGTCTCAATGATTTGTTCAAAGCTTAATTGTTTAATATGTGTAGGATCATAGAATTATGTGGCGTAGACTGACAATTATTATGAAACTTGAATTTAGATTAATGCTGCGCTAATATCTGCAACAATCTCAAACAATTCACACAGCTTCTATGAGACGAAATGAACATATACAATAACAAAATATCGGGTTACTCATAGCATATCCTATTTACAGCGCACTCAAGTGGCATCATGGAAAATACTCTAGAAACGATTTTCGATTTATCGAAACAAAACGTTTAAACATGACTTACATCCTACATATTAAAATGGACACATACGTAACGAATAACCAGTAAATAGCATATTACTGACATAGTGGCATGCCGTGTTGACAGGAATCAAAATTAAAAGTGTATTAAGACTATTGAAATTAAATTATTTTATTGAATTAATTACTGATGGGAGATTGAGTTCGAGACTCTCGAGATGGGTTCGATTTCCAGGGTCGATGTGTGGTTTTCAAAGTGATCTGATAGTAATTACGATATAAAGCAGATCAATGAGGTGGTACCTAATTAAGAGCCAGTGTTGCTCGAATTTGGCCACATAAGAGTAAAATAAGTGTCTATGCTGCCTGAATTAATTGTATTAAATAAATACCCCGTGAATGCTTGGAATCATATCGCTGTAAGTACGGAGAGAGTGGTACTTAGTCGAACAAAGCACAGCAGGATGCTCTCCTATAAGCCAACTTAGTCTAATGTAAATTAACCATACTTTCTCGCGTGATATGTGTCTAAACGCATTTAGTAACTATACAATATCTGTAAAGAATTTAATTAAATATCGTAAGAACTTTATACTTGGCGTGCTGGGAATCCCCTAGCAAACAAAAATTTTGGGCTAGTTTCTCAAAGAAAACTAACCTTAGAGTGTCTGTGTACCCTCTTGACGAGTTTTGACAAAACAGTGTCTCTTCAGAAATCTACAGCTTAAAACGCAGGAACCAAAATGTGTTAAGAAAGACTCTGAACCACGGATTTTGACAAATTGATGTAATTTTGTTATAATCAAATATGTTTATATAAAAAAGGAGTCTTTACTGCCACACTTAAGAGGGAATTTCAGTTTTAAAATTATTTATTTTTATTTAGTGTTCTGCAGTGGTTTGCCATTGCCTTCTTCTGTGTGTGACTGGAGTAATTGTTGGGATGCCACGGAGGAAAACTCCGTGTTGCCTAGACCACGGCCTTGCCCAACACAAGTTATAAATTCGGGCACCGCCGGGAATCGAACCCGAGACCCCAGGATTACAAGGCCAGCGTTCTAACCGTTAGACCAAACAGACGATTTGAAATTTCAAATTGTAAAGCAAAGCTTCCGTCAAGTGACGTCACGCTAAGGCATGACCAAACGTCGAGTTCCTCATTCAACTGCAACAATAAAGCCAAGTTTTAAGGACCCCATAAAATTGTGAAACACATCTCAATATCTCATCTTTATTTATGCTTGTCTCCCCTTCAAGTTAGGGGAGGCTTATTTTGAAGGGTGAGTTTCACAGATAGTTTTCTCCCCAGTAGATGATACAAAGGGGTCAATGCTAAGATGGATCAGAAAGGACGTCTAGGAGCATCATTTAGTATGTTTCAGCCATGCGTGTGTTGCATCAAACCTTGGAGCTTATGTCATGTGTGTGTGTGTACACCCACTGTACGTCACGGGTCCAATTTGGACAATCCGACTTGATTGAAATTTATAGAAAAAAATCATATCTGACGATGGTGGTTCTCAGGGATACGACGCCGTGTTAACTCGCGAGTACCAACGTTTCGGAAGAAAATTCAGTTTCCATCTTCAGGACTAAAACCCTGACGCCGAAACGTATCATCTATAAATCCACACGTTATCACAATCCAGAATACCACAACGGATGTATTTCTATCTTAAAACCTCATTCATGTATCAGTTGAAATTTGGTTCAAATTATACCATGAAGATAATCACTTGTATTAAGGGCTACGTAAGTAATTACTACTACTAATATGGCGTAACAGCCCAAAATCGAGCCCTAGCCTTCTCAAATAAGTAATTAAGCAGATATAAAATATTTACATACATTAATAATAATTTTATCACGAACATAGGCCAATAGATGCCCTGTTTTAATATTTCAGTTCTTTTATTTTTGAGTGGTCGGTAGTCAAGAAATTCTTCACGATGTCTAATGGTTTACAGCCTTCTAACAACATCTAATATGTTCTGTTTATAAAGTGTTGTGTTGAAATATGTAGATTATATTCATTCGGATCACAATACGAAAAGGTTTCGGGCTTTTGCGAGCAAGGAAATGGACATCTGTGTCAGCTTTTCAAGAAGTATTCCTCTTAATGAAGTAATCCTGGGGTCTCGGGTTCGATTCCCGGCGGTGCCCGAATTTATAACTTGTGTTGGGCAAAGGCCGTGGTCTAGGCAACACGGAGTTTTCCTCCGTGGCATCCCAACAATTACTCCATTCACACACAGAAGAAGGCAATGGCAAACCACTTCTGGATCATCTGCCAAGAACGTATATGAACAGATCCCAGTCCGAGAAGAGAAAAGGATGGAAGGATCCTGTTCATATGGACCTGTCGTCAGACAGAACACTAAATAATAAAATAATAATAATAAACGTTAAGTAATGTTCTTTCCAGAGCGTCTACTTTGAACGATGGACCACTGTCAGGGACTTCGTAAATCTGTAGTTTAAGTCCATCCAAAATACGGTGTACAAAAAATTATAAATCCTACAGACAAATATAGTTTTGATCCCAAAATATAACATTTCATCAAGAACCGATTCCTCCCCAAAAGATCAATTTATAGCAACTGAAGCAAGGATTGATACAGTTTATTTCATTTAAAAATTTTTTGGGGCAAATCGTAAGGCATTTACCTTAACAGATTGAAAAAAATACTGAGCAATATAAGATTCGAGGTTCTCAAATCGAACATGTTGATGCCGATCTTCTGGGTTGTAGGCAGACGCAGACGTTAAGGAGGAATAGGAATATACTGCCTCAATCTTCAGTCCTGAAGAAAAGTATTCAGAAAAAGATCTGAATTGATGCGTACACAAAAAGCATAATTCATAACTTGCAGTCTTCACTTATAACTCTAAAGTTATTAAATCAGGAAGTTTGACAAAACTTTGCAAAAACTAGGCGTGAACTGGAGGATGATGGGAAATTTGATGTTGAAGAAAAAGGCGTGTAGTTGTGGAATGGCTCGGAATAAGTTAGGTTAGGTTATGTTAGGTTAGGTTAGGTAGGGTTAGGTTAGGTTACGTTACGTTGGGTTAGGTTAGGTCAGATTTAGGTTAGGTTAGGTTAGGTTAGTTTAGGTTAGGTTAGGTTAGGTTAGGTTAAGTTAAGAATATTTTTATCAGCAGAATATTTTCAATTAAAATTATGCAAAATATTTTCTTTTTGTCAATCCTTAAGTCCCACTGGTAACCGTGTGTACCACGTGTTTTAAAATCGATATTTTTTTTTGTATAATTCTTAATGCAAACAGCGATTATTTCCTTAAACAGCGTTAAGCATTTGATTTCTGTATTGGTGAAGAGTTGTGTTTTCTTCGCGGTACGGACTCTGGCCTCGTCTTCAGGCGTAGTTAAGGGAACGCCTACAAAGAGTTAATCCCAATCATTGGACTGACCAAGTTATCGAAACGTGGCGTTTTACAAACAAGGTCTAAGCACCCAATCATCCGAGGATATTCATGGTCTCACGGCGACTATTAGGAAGATGATTGTCTTCTGTCATGTTACGCTGTGTAGTCTGGTAGTAATTGACAGATGTTTCAGGCTACAAGACTACACGGTGTCACAACACCAAAAGATCACATTCCACCTTTTTATCGCTCCGAAAATTCTAAATATCATAAAATATTGTATGTCTATTGTGTTAATCAAACGGAACTTTGCGTTTCGCGTGTTAAAAATAGCGTTGAAGTTACTACGTAAATAACTAGTATATTCAGGATGACAACGTAACGGTTCTAAATTCCCTCAAATTAGGATACACGAAGACCACTGATACCTCCAAAAAAAAGT